AACGGCTTGGCCCGGCTGTGATCCTGAATGCCGGAACACATTGCTACTACGCGTGTAGGATCCCGGAAGCGCGATCCATGTGATTTGTGTACACGCTTTCTCACCCAACATGGAACAAGATGAGCACATTTCTGCCTACCGAGTCCCAGCCTGCCTCGGTCCCTACGCAGAGGAATGACGGCCGCATCATCCTGCATTTTGTATGTAAGTCTCACAGCATCACGCGCCGCGAGCACTGCCGCCAACACGATCGACACCTCGGTGGTCGCTGTCGTCGATCTCTTCATGAGCCACAAACCGTGTGACGCGTCGCGTGCTTGGCTTGCTCCCCCGGTGGCCCTCCGTTACGGTCCCGTGCCTCCTCACACATCCCTTGCCGGCCAAGTGTTCTGATGGCTCAACAAACGCGCTCCCACAGGATTACGACTGCTTCTACGCCACCGTCTTCGAGAACGAGAGGCCCTCGCTCAAGTCGCAGCCGCTCGGCATCAAGCAGAAGAGCATCCTCGCGACATGCAACTACGTCGCCCGAGCCCGCGGCGTCAAGAAGTTGATGCTGATCTCCGAGGCGCAGAAGATATGCCCGGATCTCGGTAAGCCGAGTTTGTTGCTCAGGTGAATGATCTAAATATATAACGCCTCGCTGAGACTATCACTCCGCAGTTCTCATGAACGGCGAGGATCTCACCCGCTTCCGGGCCGCCTCCAAGAGGCTATGGACCTTTCTGCGGGCACACTCCTGGAACAACCGCGTCGAACGCCTAGGGCTCGACGAGGTCTTCCTCGACGTCACCGACGTCATTGCCTACAACCATGAGATGCTCAATACGCACTCCCTAAGGGAGTCGTTCTTCCATCTCGACAGGCTGGACCCAGAGAGAGGATTCGCGTTCGATGGGACGCATTTCTACGGGCACGTGTACCCTCCGGCCCAGCCCAGCTGCGGCGGCAGCAACAACGGGAAGCGTGATGTAGCGGCCACGCAAGCGGCCATCACTGACAACCCGTTGTGCATGCGCCTGCTGTTGGCCTCGCATCTCGCCGGCTATCTGCGTCACCATCTCGACTCGGGGTTCGGGTACACGTCGAGCGCCGGCGTCTCGACAAACAAGCTCCTCGCCAAGCTGGCGGGCAGCGCGAACAAGCCCGACGGCCAGACCACGCTCCTCAGCTTCCTGGGGGAGTCGTGCGTACGGGACTTCATGGACGCGCACCCTCTGCGCAAGGTCCCCGGCATCGGCTCGCGCATCGCCCAGACAATCCAGGACCACGTCGTCGCCCACCACGACTCCGCCGAGGGAGCCACCACCGTCGGCGAGGCGCGCCGACACCCGCGCCTGTCGTCGCCCGGGGCACTCGACCGCGTCCTCGTCGACCGCGGCGCCGGCGCCAGGGTCTGGAGCCTGCTGCACGGCGTGGACGAGGCCGAGGTGAAGGAGGCCAGCGACGTGCCCACGCAGGTCAGCGTCGAGGACACGTACGTGGCGCGCCCGCTGCGGACGCCGGCCGAGGTCGCGAGCGAGCTGCACGCCCTCGCCGCCAGCCTGGTGCGGCGCATGCGCGTCGACCTCACAGCGGCGGCGACGGACGAGCGGCGGCTCGGCTCGGACTCGGATCCCGCGCCGCCGCCGCCGCCGCCGCCGACGCGCTGGCTGGCATACCCGAAGACGATCCGGCTGACCACGCGCACCCGGTCCTCGGCCTCGTCCTCGACCCCGACCTCGTACCCGTCCTCCACAACGACGACGACAACACCAACACCTACCACAAGGACGACGACCACCACCACCACCAACCCGTCGGCCGTCGACTTCGCCCGCCGCAGCCGCAGCCAGCCTTTCCCGTCCTTCGCCCTCAGTCTCGGCGCCGACCCGGCCGCCGTCGCCGCCCGCCTCGCCACCGAGGCCCTGCTGCCGCTCTTCCGACGCCTGGTGACCCTGAGCCCGAGCCCGAGCCCGGCCGAGCGCGCCCACCACGCCGGTAGCGGTAGCGGTCTGAATGTCACCCTGCTCAACGTGTGCGTCGCGAACATGGTCGCCGTCGCTGTCGACGACGACGACAACGACGCCGGGGGCGGAGGTGGTGGCGGTGGAGGAGGCCGCAGTGACGGTATCGGAGGAGGCAGTAGTAGTAGTAACAGTAGTCATAGTAGTGTGGCGGGGGGGAGGGCGCGCGATATCGCCGGCATGTTCCGCCGGCAGGAACGGGTGCTGCGCGAGTTCACCGTATACGACCCCTCTCCTCCGCCGGCGGCGACGCAGCAGCAAGCACAGCAGCAGCAGCAGCTCCTCAGTGACGAGGCACGACAACCACAACAACAACCACAACAACAACCACAACAACAACAAGGCACGCCCGAGCCGCCGTCGGCTTCTGCACAGCCCACTGACGAGGAGGAGGAGCAGGAGCAGGAGGCAGCGGCTTGGGATGACGACGACGATGGCAGCGGCTGCGGTGATCTCAACGGCGGCGGCGGCAGTGGCGGCGGGACCTCTCAGACGTGTCCACGCTGTGGGCGGGCCGTCCCCTTCTTCGCCATGTCTGCCCACGAGAGATTCCATGCTTTGGGCGACTGAAGTTTACATACCATAGCATATTCGAGAGCCCCCAATACAGTAATTGTAATGCAGGCACACATTGTTCGCCCAAATGAGAGTTGGCCACCCCCCTTTCCCGGTACGGTATATACATTTATATATATATATATATATTCAACTGTCAATACTTTCAAACAACAGCCAAACCATGGACGAGGGGGTCGGTCGTATCATTCAACCCCAGACGGCAGCAGTGTGTCGGCCAGCAGGAAGGAGAGGACCACCGCCATAGATGGACACATGGCTGACTATGCGGCGGTGGCCCCCGTATGGTCTCCCTGCAGGTCATCTCGCTCTTCCTTGACTAAAAATTGAGAAGGGCCATGGGGAGATAATGGGCCAGACTCAGAGTGTATGCAAGGGTCAACTACAACCACCACCCCAACTACAACCGCAACCGCAACCACGACCACAACCACGACCGCCCCGGCATCATCCCTTTATATTCGATGGAGAGAAGCGGGTTGGGGATGAGTGGCCCTGTCGAGTGCGGTTAGCTGTTGATCATGTTCAGGGAAGATCTTGAAGAGACGGGAAAGACTTACCTGGTCAGGTAGAGGATCGTAGACGCCGAGACGAGACACCTGCCGTCAAGAAACCAGCCACCCTTCTCGTTGAGATAGCCGTCCATCCGGCTGTGGTATATTTCATAGGTACACGGGGAGTGGTTTCCTCGGCCGACGATCCGCTCCCATCGGTCAGTTGTCTGATACAATGCGTACGTACATGTTGTACAAGCTCTCAAGCTCCCCCTTCCACCTCTCCGCTCCCCTTGTTTCCCGAGTGTCGTCTCACGTATCGGCTCGACCATTCTCCCCCCGCATATGCCATAATGTTTTCTGTCATATGAGGTTCGATCCCCCCTGTTTGATTGACATGACTCCCACTGACTACCCACTACTACTGATTCGCCTGCCGGATGGCCTCGGCCTCCTTGAGCGCGAGCTCGGCGAGGCGGTCGCGCTCGCGGCGGGCCTCGGCGACGCGCAGGCCCGTCTCGCGGTCCGCCACGGCCTGGCGCGCCAGCTGCTCGAGCCCGCGCAGCTCGGCCTCCTCGGCCGGCGTGGCCTGCACCGGCTGCGCCCGCGTGCGCGCCAGCAGCTCCGCCAGGATCGCCTCGGACCGCTGCCCCTTCATGTCCACCGTCTCGACGCGCTCGTCCGGACGCGGCGCCGGCGCCGGGTGCGCCCCCGTCGAGCTGCTGTGCGCCTGCACCGCCGCTGCTGTCGCCGACGGCTTTTTCGCCGGGGCCGGTGTCGGTGCTGATGGCGGGCTGGACTCTCCTTCGGCGGCGGTGGCCGCCTCGGTGGGGGAGGAGGAGGAGGAGGAGGATGTCGTGGTGGTTGTGGTGGCGGTGGAGCGGGGAGAGGAGCTAGAGGCGCCGCCGGCCTGCCGGAAGTAGATGCTCATCGTGGCGGGACCAGACTGATCCGTCGTCCGGTTCACCAGCATCGGGACTGCCGGGTTCCAGTACTTGAGCCGCGGAAGGCAATCCTTCCAGAACTTCCTACAGACGAGCGCGTCGAGTCAGAGTGAATGGGCAGGTCGGTAGGCGGCGCAGGGTCGGGCAGACGAGGTAGGCGGGCGAGAACAGAGACCATAGTTTTTTAATCCATGATCGGGCGGGGAGTGGGCAAGGCGCGTACCTGGGCCCCAAGTGTCCGTCATTCCACTTGTGGGCAAAGTCCAAATGTATCCGCGTGACCTCGGAGGGTAGTATGGCGGCGCCGGGGCCGAGACGTAACGCCAGCACCTGGCAAGACAGAATTGGTCGTCAGGAAAAATGATTCTCGTTTCTCGCGCCACCATCCTCACAGTATGTGCGCGTGTGTTCTGATAAGGGGAGCGGTAGGCGTTTTACCTTCTACACGGACATTAGCGAGCTGGTTGGTGAGCAAGCGCCCGCCAGGGGGAGCAGCAGGTAGGGCGGCAACGTACGGATTGCAGTATGTGCATCCGCTTCCCTACGTTCACCATCTTGACGGCCTGCGAGACTCGCAAGTTTGTGACGAAGGGAGGGGGAGGCAGCAGCTGGCTGGGACGGCGAGAATGCTCGCGACAAGTAGAGAGAGGATGTAGCAGCTGCAGCTTGCGCTTGGAGCTCTGGAGGTGGTGGGAATGGAAATTTCGAGGACCCTTGTAGGTCGTCGGCCCGCTACAAATTCCGTCACTTGCGCTAAGCGGAGCTGGACTCGCAGCCTCAACATCACCTCAACCTCCAACTTTCTTCCTTTCCTTGTAGGATACAGCCATTCCACTGCTTCTTGAGAGATTGGATACGTACCTCTAGGTCGGTAACTGAGAAGGAGTCAATCTAGATATCAGATAATCTCACTATGATTCTCTGCGAGGGTACAGCAGGACAAAAAGGAAGAAATAGTACCGGAAAGGGCCAAAAGTGAATGAACGAGGCCCGGATCGAACGGACGACCTTCTGGATAAACCATCGCATTTTCTGGAATCAGATGCACTACCACTGTGCTACTCGTTCTTGATGGATAATTTGCTCTTATGGTTGATCAGTTGTTTCCTGTTTGCTTCTCAAGAAACACTGACCTGCTGGGAAAGCACTCGGTTGAAGAGACCACCACCAGAGGCTCCTTCCGCGGTGACCAATACATAGACTTTGGGTTATATAACTGTTTTCCTGAGCAATAGAATTACCTACTACCCCACCTGGTCATTTATCAACTGCGCAGGACGCTTTCTTAGACAAAAATGAGGACTTCCAACTTTCATTGAGCTTCCCTGTGCTATAATAACCACTAAATTCCCGAGCGAATCCACGCAAGTCCTGCTGGCGCAATGGTTAGCGCATCCGACTTCTATGAGTGCTCGCGCTCGGGCTAATCGGAAGGTTGTCGGTTCGAGTATGTTATCAACACTTCAGCGTCCATCATATACAGAGCTAACTTGCAAAAAGGTCCGACGTAGGATGCATGTCTTTTTGTGAAAGTCGCTCTTCCCGGGTCGTGGTACCGCACCCGGCAAGGGAGGGTCGCGGGGGATGTTTGTCGATGCAAATGATGAGCCTTAAGTGCAACCATGCAGATAGGCACTGGGGCTTGTCCAGAAAGCCTGCTAAGTTGTTTGCGTCGTATTCCAGACTGATAGCAGTATCCTCCACAGAAGATGCGGGTGACTGTGCTCGGCCGCACGCAAAATCGTGACCAATGTGTTTGCTGGCAATCCTCAAAAGTGAGAGGGCCTTTTGCGTGTAAATGACATGTGTGCTTGGTTTGCCACCATCGATATGACTGGGTCGTAACTCATCTCCGTCGTTGGCATGTCATGTCGGCCCTATCCTCATTACCAGCAAACGGTCCAGTGCTCGGAACACAGCAATTTTAGGCCTCCGTTGATCCGCATTTGAAGTTATTAGAGTAGAGGCATCAGGAAGCCCTGGGAGCCGAAGAAGCTGGGAACATAATAGTTAGGTGTTTTCGTAGAGTGGACAGAAGCTCGGGTAAGTCAAGCCCAACGAGTGGTGGTGGCCAAGTGGCCACTGCGCATGGACATATAAGTCAGGGCCATGTTGCCGAGTTGGGACACATCTAAATGCTTATTTGAGAACAAGCTCGGTGATCAGACCGAGCACATGACGGCTTCGCAATGTATCTAATTGTTGGTGTAAGCAAATCACCTAATACTACATCGGTCTCCTCCGCATCTACTGCCTTGCCCAGGTCTCTGCCCCATCGGAGGTCTAAGGATTGAGGTTGCAAGGGAAGTTCCCAGCAGCTGTGACTTGTCAGCATTGTCATATGTCGGAGATGTTGCTGTCTCCTGCTCACCACGCAGGTCATCCCATCGCTCGTGCCAACCACGAGGGCACAAGGATTTGTACGCGATCAGGAACTGGACCGGTCAGTCTTGGCGTTGCGAGACAGTGCAAAGTCGCTGCTTGGCGCACCTGTTTGCAAGGGAGGAAGTCCTCGCCCTTGGCGATGATGCACTTGTGGTAGTCGACGTAGTTCTGCCAGCAGTGCTTGGTCTGGTTGACATTGGGGAAGCGGGCGTCGGGACCTATATCGCCGTTCGTCAGGCTCCGGAGCTCGTAGAGATCGGGACAATCATGTTTATGGGCCAAAATAAGTCGCTCTGCGGTGTCGTGCCGTGTCGGGGATGAAGGCCTATCTTACCAGCTACAAGCAACGGGTCAGCACACATCAACGGAAGGGCCCGGCGACAAGCCGTGAGGGATATTGCGAGGCACGCAGGACTCACCAGTGATAAACTTGAAGGGCTTGGTGACGAGAGTCTCGTCGCGCTCCTCGTCGGACATGGTGGCGGTTCAGATGCAGTGTTTCGGTGCGCAATGGCAAGAGAGCAAGGCCCGGTAATGGTGATGTAGTTGAGAGGTTGACGGCTCCGGCCGAATCATTGAAAGAGCTTGTGGCGGTCTTGGACTCTGAGGAGAGAGTGGGGATCTAGTGGAAAACGAGACAATGTGAGTGGCTGATCAGATCGGTGGGGCAGAGACCGGAGCCTTGGGCAGGTGGCTCGGGTGGCCGTGCAGCACCGGCAACAGAAAGCTTTCCCCTGCAATTGCTGATGAGCGCCACGATTGCTCCGTAAAACAGACCTCACGACTCCAGCTCCTCCTCGTATACCTTCGCTGCAGACGCTCTCCCCTCCAACCCACCGCCAGTATGTACGCCACTCGCGCTCTCAGCATGATGCCCACCAGGGCTCTCAGGATGGCGCCCACCAAGCGCATGATGCGGCCTGTCCCCGTTGGTTCCCCTCCGCCTCCGTTTCGCCGTATGACGTTGCTAACGACCCGCCCAGAAAGAAGACCAGGCGGGTATGTGAATGCCCATCCCACGACGAGCCATTGACTTCCGAGGCCGACCACTCGATTTACCTCGTCTGGATATGCTTAGAGCTGACCAAGAGGCAACAGCGCATACCGTCTCCCAACGTCTCCGAAAGCTGCGACAGATCCCCGCCGAGTTGATCCCGCTCGGTCAGTCTGACTCTTTGCACCATTTGGGGAAGGGTAGTCAGGCTAACCCATCATTCAAGGTGTCGTCGTCGGCTTCGCTGTCTGTGCGGGCGTGTACTCGCTGACCCGCAAGCTCTGGACCGACAAGACCTTGCGACTCCACCGCCAGGGCCAAACGCGCCCGGCCCACTAGGCCCGACCGGCGAGAGGAAGCATACAGCATTAAGGCATGGCATTTCCTTTGTCCAGACAGGGCACGTTGTACAAGATAGCTGTTCGGGACAGTCAGTGGTGCGGATGAAAATTGAGCATGGTCTAGATCTCAACCAAATCCCAAGAGTCTCTCTGCTCCCTCCCTCATTGCCCGACAAATCCATTCCAAACGCCAACGCTATGCGATAATCACAGGCATGTCTGCATCTGTTTATGCCAGATTCATTCTGCCAGGTTCATTCTGGCTTCGGTCCGGCTACATCCAGCCCCTCTAGTCCCTGCATCGGATCCTCTGGCCTATCCAGGCTGCCCTGAGCTTGCGCAGATGCAAGGCGGTCCTCTTCGCTGACAGCATGCTCAGCGAGCCATCCTTCCTGTGAATCGTGTTAGCCCGTAGGATGTAGATGGAAAGAGGGCCGATCATACCTGCTGCCAGACTGCCGTCTTGCTGCCCAACCCCTCTTCGGCGCTCTTGGGTGGCTTGGCGGCAGAGACCTTCAGCACGCGGCCGAAGAATTCTGACTGGTCCATATTGTCAATGGCTTCTTTGGCGTCATCCGCGTCTTCGAACTCGACGTACGCGAACCCTCTATGAGGTTCGGTCGAGTTGGGCGCATCGTTCTTGGGAATGCTTATATCGGCGATCTCTCCAAAGGGAATGAAGGCATCGTGGAGGCTGCCTTGTGTAGCCAGCGAGGCCAGACCTCCCACGTAGACCGTGGCTTTCCAGCGAGCTGTATCCGTCATAATTGGCCTGGACACCGGATATAAAAGAACGACTGTGTGATCGGGGGTGGTTTTCTTATGCTCTGCCAGCTCCTCAAAATGAGTTATTGGCGGAGAACGGCTGCCATATCACGTGGGGTTTGTCGCTGGTGGTCTATCGGGTTCTCCGGTTGATCGAATACGACGATTCATGTAATACACGGGGCGGCCAAGAAAGGGGATAAGGGGAAGGGAGAGTAGGTGGTCTGTGCAGACAGAGGGCACCCCCAGATTGTATCCACAAATCCAGTCGCAAAGTGCCACGCTTGTGAGCTCACCACACACCCGCCATTGCCAGCCCACAACGGCCAAGTTATCTGGACTATCTGGCAACATTCTGTTAGGCTTCTGCCTTCTCGCCCTGTCAAAGGCCACATTTTCTCTGGTCATACTAGCTGGCCTAGAGTGCTCAATGCGATTTGACATTCAAGGTTTTTCTCTTTAGGTCTCCCCTACCTCCTTGACCTCCCTTTCCTTGCCCCACGCTCCCAGGGTCAACATGGTCAGACTACGGGAGATCGCTCGAACGGCCGCCTTCGCTTGGTCGCCTGGCTCGGGCAAGCCGTTGCTTGTCACCGGGACGAGGGCCGGGGCTGTGGATGCCGACTTCTCCGACGAGACCAAGCTCGAGCTGTGGGATTTGAGTCTCGACAACCAGGAACAGGGCCTCGAGCTCCAGCCCCTGGCAACTGTTGCTGCCGACTCCAGGTAACTCTCCTGCGGCCACACCACCGGTGGTATACCTCTGGATTTCTCTGACCTCTCGTTTCCAGGTTCTATGACATTGCATGGGGTCAGCCGTCAGACGACCATCCTCAGGGTATCATCGCTGGCGCCCTCGAAAACGGTTCCCTCGATCTCTGGGACGCCGAGAAGCTGATATCTGGCTCGTCCGATGCCCTGATCTCGAGAACAACGAAACACTCTGGGGCGATCAAGGCTCTTCAGTTCAATCCCCTGAGGCCCCAGATTCTGGCCACGGCCGGCGCCAAGGGCGAGCTCTTCATATACGATGTCAACGACCCTTCCAGTGCGTTCCGGCTAGGTACTGCTGCTGCTCGCTCAGATGATCTGGAATGTGTGTCATGGAATACAAGGGTCGCCCACATCCTGGCCACAGGAGGCACAGGGGGCTTCGTTACCGTCTGGGACTTGAAGACTAAGAAGGCATCTTTGACACTCAACAACAACCGAAAGGCGGTCAGCGCCGTTGCGTGGGACCCGAACAACTCGACCAAGCTGTTGACCGCGACTCCCGACGACACGTCCCCTGTCATGATGGTTTGGGATTTGCGCAACTCCAATGCTCCGGAGAGGACGTTGCAGGGCCACGAACAGGGGGTCTTGTCCGTGTCTTGGTGCCAACATGATGCCGATCTCCTGATCTCCTCTGGCAAAGACAACAGAACTTTGCTGTGGAACCCTCAGACCGGGCAGCGATATGGCGAGTTCCCTGAAGTAACAAATTGGACTTTCTTAACGAGGTTTCATCCTCACAATCCGAGTCTTTCCGCGACTGCCTCCTTCGACGGAAAGATCACGGTCCAGACTTTGCAAAATACGAA